AAGTACCGTACGACGACTACGTAACGTACCTACTAGTACTTACTAACTTAATTTAGTACTTTCGTTACGTACTACTAGTCGACACGACACACACACACACACTCTCTCTCTCTCTCTCTCTCTCTCTCTCTCTCTATTACTATTGGCACAACACACTTGAATCTCTCTCTCTCTCAAAAATGCATGCATTAAGAAAAGAAATCTCTCTCGAAAAAAAAAAAAATGCATGCATTAAGAAAAGAAATCTCTCTCTCTTAAATGCATGCATTAAGAAAAGAAATCTCTCTCTCTTAAATGCATGCATTAAGAAAAGAAATCTCTCTCTCTCTCTTAAATGCATGCATTAAGAAAATAAATCTCTCTCTGTTTGGACAATATTAAGAGTTTTTATTGAGCATTTGCTTAGAAAGCATCGGTTATATAGTTGGAATCAAAATATCAAAATTAGACAAAAAAGGCAAAGAAACTTCAAATTTTGCAAGGTGATCAGAATCATTGCTTCTCGGAAGATATGGGAGGAGGAGACTTGCAGTCTAATGAGGAGCAAATATCCATAATCTTCAGCCAACATAAAGAGTCCAAGGTATTATTTGATCCATCAAGCACCATTTGATTACCTTTAATTAAAATCTCTCTAAAAAATGCATACATCGGGAAAATAAAGTCTCTCTCTCTAGAAAATGCACGCATTAGAAAATATAGATGTATTTCGCTTTGATTTTAGCCAAGAGATCGAAATTGGGGGAGAAAATGTCATGGAGCTATTTTTTGCCTAGCCTAACCGATATGTATGATAGTATAATTTTCGGACTTTAATTTTGCGACATGAGTCCATGTAAAAATGAGTCACCTCTTAAAAACCTATTTTTAAGATTGGATATTTTTACTTAATTTTTAAGGACATATAATCTTATCATGAATATGAAAAAATAAATAAATTTTGAAAATTAAAAATAATAAATGTATTAAGAAAACATTTTGGCCCTTAGTTTCAATTGTTCTGTTTTTAAACAGACCACCTATTTGCATCCATCTTTAAGATGGATGCTCTATACCTTGGGGACCGCAAATGTAGAAATGCGGTCCCCGCATGAAACAATTTTCCTTAATTTTGATAGCATTTAGAAATTGTTGTCAACTTTATCATTTGGGAGTAGCGTGTACTCTTGTTGGAGCACACTATGCGTATGCTCCTAGATAGGAGCATGTTATGAGGATTTTTGCCTTCCGAAATTTGAAGATCCACCTTAGAATCACTTTACCAGTATCCCTTCAATAATAAATAAACAAATAAAATTTTCAGTTTGTAAATGAAATGCGATTACGATGGCTTTGAGATTTGAATTGTCAGCCAAAAGAATAGAGGCTGGAAAGTTAAAAAATACCAGTCATTATGATAGATTTCTAGTTTCTGATTTCATCTTTATGCTAGATTTCAAGTTTCTGATTTCATCTTTCTTCAGTTCTCTCTGAGAGTGCATGGTGAAGCACATCAATATCTTCCACCCATGTGCCCAACTGGCTTTTCTCATACTTGAGTCTACATATCAAGTTGATCTTGTTTTCTTTTGTTGTCTTATGTATTTTCAAAAGGAAAAATATACAAAAAGACCATTTACTTTCAATACAAAAAAGTTATAATTACTCTTGTTCGTCAGATTTTAAGTTGGGTAGTTGTGAATATGCCATTGACTAAACCTAAACTTTTAAAAAAAAATATCGAACTTTGTGACACACCCCACGCTATCCAATTTGACATCTAATAGCTAGTAGCAATTGCGACCTCCTTGTAACAAAGATAAATAGTCTCATTGTATACAATCCCTTGTCAAATATATAACTGAATATGAACTGTATTAGTTATAGTTGCTTAAATAGATCAGGTGTTCCAAAGTGGAAGTCATCTAAGGTCAGTTATCTATCAAGCAGCTGGTTAAACTAGAAGATTAAAAGGGTGTTATATTAGCTCTAATGAAGTGATTATGATCTAATGAAGTGATTATACACTCTAGTGGGAGCATGTTGTCCATTTGCTCCCTATTATTAAAACCCATCTAGAAGTATTCTTAGGATGCTCCCTAGTGTTAAAGCCCATCTAGAAGTATTCTTAGGACCCTAAGTCTTGAGGATATAACTACTTGAACCTAGTCACACCTTTAAAAAAAAAAAAAATCATTTTGCACACTCCATGGCCTGATCAGCTTAATGTCCCAGAATTGAATAGGGATTACTCATTTTTTTGCAGGGCAAAATCCAAGTATTGAAGAACTCAAAATCCCTTTGTTGTTCTTTTTTAAAATAATCATCTAGTGATTTTTAGATGGATCCCAAAATTTCAGACAAAATAAATTACCTCAGGTAGCAATTTTGCCCAACGGAGTTAAATTTTGGGGGGACAGTATGCTCTTAGAGGAGCATGTTGTACACGCTATTAACCTATCTATCGCATGAGACCTTATATCCCATCTACTGTTGACAAGGCAATAGGAAACACAAATGTAAATTTCAACGTTATGGTAGGGAACATGGGTTTCAACTTAATTTATTTGAATCATTTCCATATGCTGAAAGTTCCAACAAGAGGCAGTGAGAAATTCTATACCTGTAAAAGAAACAGCTCCATTTTACACAGTTGTGTTTGTCCCAAAAGACTTAACAATGTCACGGACTCTCTCAGCAAAAAACACCGAGTTAATCTTCTTCCCAGTCACGTGAAACGGATTCGAAACCGCATCCACATATGCTGAGTGGAACCTCCGGAAAAACTGATCAGAAGCACAAAACAATCACAAAATAATTACTGGGAGTTCTAGCATAAAGTTTCCAATCACAAATCAAACTGAAGAAATGAAAAGTATTAAGTGCTCTAAGCTCCTTGTGACTATTTCCAAGTCCCTCAGCAGTTTTGATTTAGTGAAGCATTTTGAGGGCGTTCTCATCATGTGGTAGCTTTTTGACCAGTGGATAATACGTGATCAAGAAAACTAAGAAAACTCAGCAGTAGACTAACTGCACGGAGAAACATGAAAAATACGGAAAGAAAAAGACAGGAACTAGAAAGCCAAGTAATAGGTGATGGGGGAAGCACGGAGAAGATAAAGAGTCAAGGTAACAAGCATCTGCAATGATTATCAGCGTAGAACCACAACATGAACAAGGCAAAAGAAATGATGCAGTACAATAAGTTGGAAATGAAGTGAGAGAAATGAATCAACGAAGAAGAAAAACTTGATTGCAAAGAAGGGGAGATGACCAACTAAAAATGCACATCAAACCAATTGAAATGGAATATTCACCAAATAAAAAGCCCCCACAGCTACAATGAGGAGAGAAATGTGCTGTTCTGGTTATACAAAATTCTCAGTACGGTAACTTACCATCTAAACAGTGCATATCAAACCCATCAGAATGGAACTGGCAAATTTTCAAACAAAAACAAAACAATTGCCACAAACTTTTATACTTTCTATCTGAACTGCAGATTCCTTTGATCTAAAATGTAGGTCTATACCATGGTTTGGTATCTCTGATTTGGTGATCAGAGTTTACCAAACAGTAATAATACCCTTACTTTACAAGTGCCCTAGAGCAGACAGAGGCCCTGATTCTCGCACTTCATTGTTCTTGAGCCTACCTTGGACAAGTCTTCTATGATGCTCCTTCCACCCACCTCGAAACAAAGCAAATGTCCGATTTTCCACAAGCTATTCCCTCTAAGGAGAAATAGTTCACACGTTCAGCCTCCAACAAGGTGTGCTACAAAGACAGTAAAGTCCAAATGAGGTAGAAAAAGGCAAAAAGGAAAGCCCCAGTATCTTCTCAGAAAAGTGTGATGTGGAAAAAGGCATCCAAAAGGTGGGATATGGCATTCCAAACCACTATACTCCAAGAATCCCTAGAACCCACCCTTTGCATTGCATTGTAAACAGCTTGACCACGAAGAAACATGAGGTCTCAAAGTTCTCATGCCCATATATGACTTAAGAATAAAGACCTATGTCACATGAAACACATACAACTCATTTAACTTCCTCCACTCAAGGGGTTGCACATGAAGTGGAGACCTATATTCCCTCTAAAACACAAAACACATATTGCTCATTTAACTTCCTCCACTCGAGGGGTTGCACATGAAGTGAAGAACTATATTCCCTCTAAACTAAAAAAAACCAATGACATTAACAATGGTCATCACCCTTACTAAACGAAGGAACAAACCCTCATTAGACCTGACACACATGAGGTATCTTCTCATACTATGATTTACAGCAATCATCAAACATGAATAACTGGCCACTACTAATCCTCTCCTATAAGCCTAACAACCCCCACTGGACCTGCCCATACTTCTCATTTTCCAATAACCTACACTTGTTTTCACTATTTCTCAAATTTCCTTCTAGATCATCTTACTGACACTCTACTGTAAATGGCAAAGAAGAGTCCTATTCATCTCCTTGCGTGTACACAACATTTTTTTTTTATATGTTCCTTATGTGTGCACAACATTGCTCCTAAGATTTCACCTATCATCCCTTAACATACGAAATTTGTGGCTCTCATCGTTGCACCTCCCAAAGAAGCCCCACAAGGTCCTCTCTACCTTCTCGGAGCCATGAATTAAGTGATTTCGATGATGAACACAAATGAATCTTAACACCTCTGCTCCTAAAACATTGTCAATAATCAAGGACCCAACAAAAAACTTTGGACAAGCTTTAGGTTTTTGGAAATTTAGAAGTGATGATTGCAACTTAGGGACGGTAGCACCTTTTTTTAGCTCTCTACTTCATGAAATATTTCTAGTTGTGCACTATTTTACATCTGTATAGAAAAAATGAAGAATACCGAGGAAATGTAATGGAATAACCTGCTGCTTTCCTAACTGTACTAGCAATTATAGATGCCAAAGTACTAGCAATTATGGAGGTCCTCACGACCTAAAAGTTTCTAGTTCAGGCCGTTGCAATAGAAACCCCAGTGAAGGATGCCTTATGTTTTGAATGATATTCCAAACATACTTATAAATTTGTTCTTTGCTATTTACGGTCAATTTAATGGAATCCTTCACTCAGTCCTCAGTACCACATATATAATAGCCTAATGAATACATCTCTTCCTTAATGGAATCCTTCACTCAGTCACCATTTATTTTTGTAAACATTGACATTTAATTTAAACTGGTATGATCTGTCAAGAATTTTATTTATAAATCATTTTTACTACCTCCATCTTACTAGAAATACATAAGGTTGAATGCAATGGAAGCCAACAAGGTGATCAGGACAAATTACTATGCTTTTCCATCAATAGTTTCCGACTGTGGCATAGTTTGCGCTTTAAAGTACTATTCCCTTCCAACACATAAGACACCCCAAACTTCTGAACTGTTACATCCATGCTTGCTTCACAAAACTGGCTTATTATGTATTAGCAAACCCCATCCAATTCACTGCCATGTTTATTTCTGCACGTAGTCTTATTTCCCTGTACCTTATTCTGTATGGCCTCAGGTATCAAAGCAAGATATCTATGATCCATCCATTTGGATCCTTGTGTATGTGTGTGATGGACTTGTTCGAAGGGAAGTGTGCTCGAGGAAGCTTATACCCTCATACTTGAAGTGGCCACATTCTAATTATAAAAAGTTCATGTTAGAAGCGAGGACAACTGCCATGATCTCCAACCTTGGCAGTTTGCAACATGTACCGTCCCTCTTCTTCATAATTGTTACTGTTCTCATAAGCAAATATGATTAACACCTCCGTTGTAAAGAGTAATTCATTGAAATGTAAAGCAGCATTTTTGGTGGTGCAAAACACTCTCAAATAGAAGCTCCATCACCATAACCTTTCTTCCAGCCTTCAAATGCTTCAAAACAGTTCATTTTCCAACGGCATGCACAATCCACTTAATACATTACTAATAGAGTGACCTCAGCTGACAACCTTCCTATAGCTATTATATAGTCAAAACTATTCGTAAGGTGATGCAAAAATCACCTCCTAATGATTTATGGCATTCCCTCAATGACAAGGGTGCTTTTGGTCAAATGAAAGAATGCCTTCTATGAAGGCCTTATAACCTTTTTAGAGAGAAAAACGTGGGGTCCAAGTGAAAGAGATATTTGTGAAGAGGAAAAAGAAAAAGTGTAGACAAGTTTGGGGTTTTGTAGAGATTACCTCATACAATAGCAAGAAAAGTTCAAATAGAAATTTCTTACCACAATACCACTATCAATCGACTCCCCTCTTCGTCACCGTTGACCAAGTCTGTCGCCGCAAAGAAATACCAATGAAAAAAGGCCTATACGAGGCCACAATGGTGCTAGGGTTTGTTGCAAAACCCCCCAATTTCAAAGCCCCAAGCTTCTCTGCATTTTTCCTTTTTCCTCTTCACAAATACCTCGCTCCCTTGGCATTGAGGGACCAAAACTACCCTTGGCATTGAGGGAATGTCATAAGTCATTAGGAGGTGATTTTTGCACATCCGGTTATTCCTTTCTTGAAGAACCTAGAAAACTTAGCCAATGTCGTAAGCTCTCTAGCCCAATAACTGACATGAGCATGCCATGCTCATCTTCCTTTGTGTTCGCTTTTCTTATGCAAAATCCACCGTCTTCAACACTCTCATCCTTGAGGCCATTCTGCCTTCATACATGCTCTAGGTGAATAATTTTCTACACACCTACAAGCACAATTGGTGCTTGATCTGATATCACCGAGATCTCTTGCATAAAAATCAAGGAAACTTGATGCTATCCAATAAAGAGTCTTGCTCAAAGTGAGCCAAGACACAATTACAACTGTATGAATCAACTTCACAAGCTCTTCAAGACTTCGATAACCACTTAAAATAAACTCTATAACAGTCCCATTATGGGGTAAATTATATGCCAATTAAACTAGCTCAAATTGAAGGCAATTAATTACAAACTATGCACTTTTCTCTTCACATAAACAAAATACATAACACATCTGATCCTACTGAGATTATAGTCACTTTAAACAATAAGAACAGAGTTATTAGAGTGCCAAAAACTAATTAGGAAGCCAATGTGTCAAACCCATATGCTCGGGCCACGATCAGGCCTTTTAATGACTTAATTTTGTCCCTTAGATTAGTACAACAGTGGTTAATTGACTCAAGGGGATTTTATCTAAAAGGGAAGCTTACACACTTTAAAAAACACTTCATTAGGTCCTCATTCAACCACAAAATCAGTTCATAACCATTTGCAAAAAGGAACTATTGAGATTGGATCACTATTGAAGAAGATAAGGGCAAACTATGTAGTACAGTCCACCGGTCCACCAAAAAAACTTTTCATGCAAAAGTGATAACTTCTTATGGATAATCTCAGCTCTAAGGAGATTCAAATATCTCTGGAATTTGAAGAACAAAACTAATAGGTACTCTAGAAATTTCGAATTCAAGAAAGCATCACGAATTGCTTAAAATTCAATGCATGATCAACGTGCAAAGCCCATAATCAAAGGATGGAACAAGGCAATGTAAAAGACACTTGGAGATAGTAAAACTAATGATCAAAGAACTTTAAAACTTCTGTAAACATGCGATTACAGCAAACTTTCATAGATCAAAAGATGGAATTCTAAATAGATAAACAAATTAAATTGATACCTTGATAATGGCAAAGGATGGGCTAGATCTCATAAGGAAAGAACACCATCATCACATCATATGATCACCATAGGATTGAAAAGAACAAAGGCTGGTGTGTGGAGGCTAGGGTTTGATCTCT